CCACGAGCCAGAGCAATATGCTTAATTCTCTCCTGCTCGTATGAGCCTCTAAGAAAAGTATTCTTATCTGAAATAGACCAATGGTATTTTGACTCACTCCTCTTTCCCTTCTGACTTTCAGTTGTTTTTGAAGATTGGGGCTTCCTAGTATTAATATAAATCTTATGCTGTCTTAATACATGGCATCTTTCAGCTATTAGAAATGGTCATGAACCTTTTGTGTCATCTTCAAGTACCTGTGGGGACACCAACTATTACATTTGAAAGTAAAGTTCACATGCTTAGCAATGTATTATTTACTTGTCTCATCAATATATGGAAAGTGATTATAGGAATGAGCTATAAAACTACAAGATGGGCCATCCCATGAGCAATAACTCCCAATGTAGCATTTTCTCTTTCAAGTCCAATTACTCTAGACATTAAACTATATGGGTGGAATTGTTTTCCATATAATAGGGATGTTTTCTAAGAGAATATTCTATTATTAAACAAAGACTGCCAAAACTTAGAATTTGGTTTCTGCTATTGGAGTTTGATATATATTCTTGATTCAATTAGATCACTCCACTCTTAATAAAGCTCTATTGGCCGACATCTTTATTCATTCATACTGCATCATAAACGCCCTATATGCATTTAAGCTGAAAGACAGAGGATGCTATGACTCTTTCATCCCTGTGGAGTCCATAGCTACAATGTCCCATATAGTAGTCATTAGCCAAATGCAGCTATTTAAATTAATACACTTAATTTAATTAATAGGACACAAAATTAAAAATTCAGCATCTCAATCATGATAGTCACATTTCAAGTGCTCTAGAGCAACGTTCGGCTATTGTATTGAACGTCACAGTTTCTCTGAGTGCCGAATGTTCCATTGAACAACACTGGTCTGGGGTGACCAACAAAGATATCTCATACAGACTTAATGAATGTCTGCAGGCTGCAGAGTAAGTCACATGATGGCACATTCATCCCTGTTAGCTCAGTAAATAGGAAGGAAATGTGTTTATCCTGAATGACATAGAGTCTTCCATTACTTGCATGTCACTATTTTTGTCCCCCACTCTACTGCCATTTCTTCAATTAACTCTTTGTTTCTCAAATATTTCTTTAAGAATGGCGACATACTGTCTGTTAGGGGGTAAGGAGAGAAAGGAAAAAAAGGATTAGAGAGCACACTGATGTCTAAGCAATAAAACCCCTGGCATTTAGGGTTTAGAGGTTCTCACATTGTAAGAAGTTCTAAAGTTTCAGTTTAGAAAAAGAAGGAGCCTTTACAGGGTTGATTTCTGCTTTTTCTGGCAAACCTTAACTTCCTGGTTCAAAGAAAAGACGTGTATAAATGAGGCCCACAAGGGTTCTTTGACATCAAATCATTCTTACAGCACAACATTTTGATAAGTTAAGTGTAAATGAACCAGAAACATATGGATTAAATTTCCCCCATGATAGTAAGAGGTTATAAAAACTGTGCAGAGAAAGAGCCTGGGAAAATGCATTTGGGGGCTTGCTGGGCACTTGGTGCTTAAAATTCAGAGCATATCATTTTGCTTGAAGCAAAATGTAAAATAGAATCAGTCACCTCAGCTCTGTGCTTTTTGCAAAGCTTCTGGGGGAAATTGGAAATGACATCTGGGTTTCCCTTTTAGTTGATAGGACTGCAGTGTAGGTTGAGAGAGAGCCCATGCACATAGCTGGCACAAAGGAGAGAGAATGGGACTTTGGAGCTGGGTTGGGCAGCAGTGGAGTGCTCCCCTCCTTGTGCCAGTGAGCAGAAGTCAGCTGATATGGTTTGGTGGCCCTGGTCCATCAAGGCCATTTAGAAGAAGAAATGTTTTGTGAAAGGTAGGTCTCTTTGTATTTGAATCACCAACAAGGTCTTACCTGCCATCTTGGGAGCCATTAAAAGGTTTGGAGATGGGGAAGTGACATGATTAGATCACCCTGGAAGCCTGGTGAGGGTGGATATAGAAGGCGAGAGAATGAAAACAAATCAGGAAGATTAAGCAAGAGATTTGAGGTCCAGAATTAAGTGAAAAATGAGATATATTTAGGAAAGCAGAATGTGAGTGCTTAGAGATACACTAGATAGGAAAATGGAATGAGAAAATAAGGTAGGGATTAAGTACTTTGCTCCAAGTCCCCACACAATTTTTTCACATCCAGCTCTTTTCATTCCAAACTTCTGACTTATATAAATCAAGCAACCAAGGATATTCATTCATTGATTCATTCACTGGGATCATTGTGAGGTATTTATTAAGTACATATTATGTGCCAGATCCTATGTTAGGTGTGTGAGACAATGATGCTTAGCTCAGGGCTGATTATTGTTGTAGCAGGAAGATTAGTTCACTAGTGTCTTCTGATATTGTCCTCCAAGATTATTCCTGAAAACAGACCAGATAATCAGAGAAGTCTAAACCACTCATACTCCAGCTATTTGCTTTTATACTTTAGCTAAAGCTATGGAAATAAACTTGAGTTGAGGGAGAGCCACCTGCTTTGCTAAATCAGTTTGTCTGTTTCTAATGAGCCCTTGGTCAGAGTCAATTGGCAAGGCAGCAATATGTTGCATTGGAGGAAATTGCCACTGTTAATACTTATAAGACCTTATAAATAACTACCTCCATGTAAGGTCTTAAAGGAAGATACAACAAGTCAAGTCATTGTCCCAAAGAAGAAACCCATTCTTTCAAAAGGGCAATGTCAACAGAAGGTATAGCACTTCTGTCCATGGCTGGCCTTGGCCAGGAAAAAAAAAGAATCTCTCTTTTTCTTTGGTTTGATGAGTTCTCACTTGATGAAAGCTGGTTTAAAATAACAGTTGAGGGGATGAAAGGGAGAAATGTTAGGATGACCTCCCAGAATTTATTGCACTGACCTGTGTACTAATACAGCAAGAAAGTGTTAGAGCTGAAATTTAAACTGAGGTCTATCTACCTCCCAAATCCATGTTCTTTCCACACCACCACCATTTGTGGAGTTGAGGATCAGTAAGCCTAATTAATCTAGTGACCTCTGCTCCAAATTGTCTCTGCCAATAGGTGCCACAGAGAGAGTGGCAGAGAGGAGAGTCTGCAGACTAGTGAGAAAAGGAACAAAAATTGGGCAATCCCTACTGAAAGCTGAAGACTCCTACACTCCCCCACAGTATTTCTAACATAGGATAAGCTTAGATATAAAAGACATGATGTTCTTCAAATATACAATATACTGGCTGAGAAGTTGATGATGTAAGGATTTTTGTATTCTTGACTAGGACTTGCTATGTTTTCCCTGTGTTGCAAAAGATTATAACTCTCATGTTATTGTCAACTATCAGTTACTGTGTTCATATGTGCTGAGCTCATGTTATCTACATGTCTTATGTTTAAAGAATAAACTATTTTTTATTTACAATAAAAGAAATGCTAGTGAGCATTAAATATATATTTTCGTTAATGAAGTTTGATATTTTTTCTCTTTTCTAAAACTTCCAAGGGTCAGCCATTGTTCTCAGGAGAAGAAAAAAAAATTAAGTCTCTTAAAGAGACAGAGCTCCTTAGGGATGGCCCATATAATAGAGAGAAAGTAGATCCTAGTGGTTGAGAGCAAGGTTTGGAAATAGCCAGGTATAGCCTAGGCTCTGCCAAATTCCTACTGTTGTAAACTTGTCCAAGTTCATATTATCTTTCTGCATCTCTGTTTCCTCATCTGTATAATGGGAAGAGTAATAATACTACCATATAAGGTTGTTTGAAGAGTAAATGACTTATTATATATAAGGTCTTAGAACAGTGCCTGGCATACAGTTAATACTCAGTAAATGTCAGCTGCTAGCATTTTCTGTGCTGCAGTAACTCCCAAGCTGCCTCAACTACTGCTGTGTGTGCCAGCCCAAACTGTTTCATATCAATGGTAGTCTGTAATTGCCATTTCTTTCTGATGCACATAAATTATTTTTGAACTCAGTAAAAAAATATAGACTTTTTAAAAAGAAAAGGATTTATTTGATTAAATCTTCATGTCTATAATAGAAATTTTCTTGGTATTTTTTTGAACTTTTATAAATTTTTTATCTTTGGTAGAGTATAAAGAAATTCTTCTATTTCATTTCGTGCTCAACTACTATTATTTCTACTACCACTAACCACTGCTGCTGCCATTTCTTGGGAGCTTACTGTGTCAGGCACTGTGCCAAGTGTTTCATATGCATTATCTACTTTAAATCTTGTAAAAACATTCAGAGGTAAGTACCATTCATTCATTTAATTCATATTTATTCAGGGCTTACTTTGTGCATGCTTACTTTCAGGCATTGGGAATACAGTGCTGAGCAAGACAAAGTTCCTTTCTTTGTGGAGCCTCCATTCTGATAATTTCTGATGGCCCCATTTTAAGGAGGCATTTGAGTCTTGTACAGTTCACAGAGTGGCAGAAGTAACCACCAGACAGAAGGCTATTGAATTCCAAATCCCATACACAGTCACCTTTTCAAGGTGCCATAGAGAATTTTTAGTTTTCTTTCAGTTTCTATTTCCTCCTTTCCCTCCCCAACACCCTCCATTTCCTGTTTGGAGATCCACAGGGTTCTGAGGAAGTGGATTCGATCTCAGCTGCAGGGATGGAAAATGGGATCTAGTCTAAGGGAAACAGTCTGTGCCTTTGACTCTACAGACCACAGCGATTGGTTCAGGGGTGGCGGTGTGACCTAAGCTGGTCAAATCAGAGTGATTTCCCCTATCTTTCCTCCGATTTCAGGGACGAGAGTGATCTTTCTTCTTGTGCATAGCTTAATGTGTACCCATGAAACCTGAAACTGTTACAACCAATTTTGCCTCCGTGCGGGAAGCCAGTGTGAGAATGAAGTCAACCTGTGGTGGAAGGCAGAGCCATGAGAGTTTTAGAGAAAAGAAATTAAAGCCCCACTGAGAATGCGCTTGAAGCTGCCATATTTCTTAACTTGTAAGAACCACAAGGCAATAAATTCCCATATTTTTAACCATTTTTATTTTATTATCTGCATTTTTACTATTGTTTGTTTTGGTTTGTAACTGAAAACATCTCAAATGACAGACAAAACAAAGGTGAGTGCCAATTCCTCTCCTTGTCCCACTCATTGCTTCATCTCTTCATGACCTCATCTCTCCTTTTCCTTCTTCTACTCTGCTTTCTTCTCTTCCCTTTTCTACATCTCCACCTTTTCATTCTCCCAAAATTCACATGGCTTTTATCAACACTACCAGTAGGCAAATTGATAGACATAATAATGACAAAATATTTATTTCATAAAAAAAAAAAAAAAGGTTAGGGCTGGAAGGGACTTTAAGAGATAATGTGCTCCAGCCCCTTCCTTCAGGTAGATAAGCTATTATTATTCTCACCAGGCAGATGAAGCCAAGAAATATGAAATATTGAAACAAGTTGTTCAAGCTAGTTAATATCAGACTGTGGAGTAAACCCCAAATCAGAGTGTCTTGATTTCTGTGGGAGCTGTATTCATTTATAATACAGGAATCTAGGACCTCAAACAACTTTACCCACAAATCCATAAAACTTTCTTACTCTTTGTTGAAATCAATTGCTTTACACAAAAAAGTATTTCTAACTAATTTAATACATTATTTTATTCCATTCGTAAACTAACTCACTAGCATTTATAGTGGAGAAGGGGGATGAGCACTAAGAGCTTGCTTCCCCAGCGTTGCGCTTACATGGAACAGTCTGGATTTTTGTTATAAAAAGACGTCTCCACCAATAACTACTGGGGAGATTTCCTGTCATTATAGCTGTTGAAACCCTGTTTCAGTTTCTTTTAGCTTTAGTGTCCAGAAACAATCTAATTCCAGGTCATCCAAACAAGTTAGTGATTTTGCAGCCCAGTAGACTAGGCCTGATGCCACTAACTTGCTGAATGTCCCTTCCTAGTGTTTTCATTTCTTTCAGGTTGAGGCCTAACTGATCTTCTCTCCATTCTCCCTTCATCTGAGACTAACACAGCTATGGGTCAAAAAACAATTATCTGATCTTCCTTCCAGCTTCACAACTCTCATTTATCTGGGTGGGGGTTTTGGAGAGGAAGAGAGACTCTTCCTACATGTTCCTCACACTTAACAATGCTCTCTAATGAAACAAGTTTAATATACACAGTTGTATCACCCAGGATTTTTGTGTTATGATTCCATATCAAAGAACTTTAAACTCTCATTGAATAAAACAAGAAAGGTGAGGGATTTTTTGTTGTTGTTGTTCTATTTTGTTTTCTTCTCATTCATGCTGCAGGTGCAATATGGGTTGGTTGGAGACTCCCCGTTGTGTCCTCTTTGTATGTATTCACTATCCAGGCTGAATGAGAAACTTGACGTTGCTGTGGCAGAGGGAAAAGAGAGTTCTCAAAGGTCTAGTATTAGCAGATAGTCCAGCCGAAAAGCAACACATGCATCACTTGTGTTCACATTCACTGGTCAGAGAAGGTAAAATGGCCATACCTAATGAAAAGCAGAGTGAAAGACAGAGAAAGTCAAAATAGGTGTGCACAGCACAAAGGATCTAAAGGCTACCACCACAACACTTAAGTGACAATATTTCATGAAAAAAGGTGGATTGAATGTAGAAGGAGGAGAACTTTGAGAATTTTCTTATGATGCTTAAATATTGTTGTTTTCTTTACTGCCTAGACCCCAGATCCTTCAATGGTAGCCATGTGGCATAGAAAGAGGCAGAACCAAATATCTGTCTTGCTACTGGAATACAGACTTCTTGTGTTTACTGGGAGATGGAGAGGAGTTAGGAACCCACAGGGTAAGTTCCAATTATCCTTCTGTAGCCAATAAGAGTCTGTATGAATTGGGTCCTGCTTATTTTTTTTTCCTGTTCTTTACTCTAGTATCCAAATGAAAATTCTTGAGTTCTTCTTTTCTTGTTATGCCAAATTTACACTAACCTTTTTATTTAATAAATATGGTTAATATTTTTTATTCATCAACTGAATAAAACAAGATCAGCCTTCTGCAACTGAAGTTGTCCTTTCTAACCTAATGCTTTCTGCAACTGAAGTTGTCCTTTCTAAGCTAATGCTTTCTGATTTCATAAATCTGCATTCAAAAAAGCACTTTCTAACTGTCTAGATTATTTTTCATCTATCAATGTTGTATGCTGTTGCTGGGGATATTATTATTTTGAAATAGAAAAAGATTCAAAGTGTGTAGATAAAACTCAACACTTTTCCATCACCAGTAAAGGTGAGAATCTTTTTAATTTTTATTTCAGAATATTGCGGGGTACAAATGTTTTGGTTACATACATTGTTTTGTGCTGTTTAAGTCAAAATTATAAATGTTTCCATAATCTAAATAGTGTGCATTGTACCTGTTAGGTGTGAATTTACCTATCCCTTCCTCCCACCTGTTTGATTTCTGATGAGTGTTATTTTCATATTTGCACATAAGTGTTGATCAATTAGTTCCAATTTAATGGTGAATACATGTGGTGTTTGTCCGTTCTTAGAAGAATGTTCTCCAGTTCCCTCCAGGTTAATACAAGAGGTATTAGTTCAAAAAGATGACAATTTTAAGAAAGCTTTTTTTTTGGCATTTTATTGACCTTGTTGTAGACCTCTTAATCTTTCAAGATCTGTGAAAATCAAAAGCAGCTATGCAAATCATAGCCTTAGAGACAAATCATCTTATGTCAGTGAGTTATCTTCTTTAGGAAGTGCTTAGTTTTCTTGTCTAATAATTACTGTTGGTGTGTAACTTTTCTGGTAGAATCACTAATTTTATTTTACCTAAGTTTTAAAACTGAAAATCTCTTCCTGAGATCAATTCTTAGTTTTAAAAACCAGAAGCCATTTGATATGGAGTCTTGGATTGAAGCAAGTTAGTCACTTACCTCTTTCCAACTCTTCCTGTAGAAACAACCTTTCCATTGTAAAAGAGATGTAAACCTCCACTCTCCTTAAAAATTCTAATAGTGATGGAAAACTTACAGACTTAAGCATCTAGTTCATGCCTTTTGGGGGGAATTATTAAGAGGGAGATCAACGTAGGTTTTAAGGTTATAATGAGTTGATATGTCACAATATTTATATTGAAACAAAATATTTCTCCATGTACCTCCACACATTAATCTTATTTCTTTTTGCACACATAGAATGAACCTGAGACTCTTCTTTTATATTTGCTCTTCACATATTTGAAGTTAGCTGTCATGGCTTCTAAGCTTTTTATTTTCTTAAGCTTACTGTGTCAAGAGTCCTTAGATGTTCTTTATATGAGATGAATCACAGTTTTTATTATTCTCCTTTGGACACAGTTATTTGTCACTGTCACTCCTTAGGGCATAGTGCTGCATGTGTGAATCTTCTATTACTGGAATTCCACAATATGATGCATGATGAGTTACTCCCCATCATGCTTGGAGTACATGTGCCTTAGACAAAAATGAGTGTAAATGTGCCTTAGATAATAAATGTTTGTGGTCAAATGGGAAACAGACTCACACATTTGTTTCAAAAGCTTGTGTGAAGGTGGATGCATTATCAGTGTAAATATACAAATAAAATACAGATAATGGGAATATCAGCCATGTTTCTGAGCCTCATAAAGACAAGACTCTATTTAAGAGCGAATAACTCCAGTAGGAAGATGATAACAGCGTACCTCTGATAACTCAATGGACCCTTCGATATTTTTCCCTTTAAAAGCAGGCATCAATTCACTCTTACTTTAGTGCTCTCTGTCATAGACATGATTCAGTTCTTCTCCTGAGTGTCTGTTCTTCATTATGTACCCCATTTTTATCTTCTACCAGAATAAACCAAACAACCATATCCTCATATCTTATGCTTAAAATTCTCAAAAGAATCTATTTGGTCCACAAAATTATTATTTTCTGCTTGATGGATCTTTTGTCCCAGTGGGTATTATGGACTATGGATTGCCTTTCTTAGGGTTAGATGGCCATGCCTGGGCTAATCAGGCATGGTCAAGAGAGTGTTGGGACATTTGATAAAAATCTTGGCTTCCTTTCAATAAAGAAGTATATATATAGTTGCCACCTTATCAAGAGCTCTGGTTACTGTGGCATCAAAGAGGAATTTGCAGTTGCTCTTTGGGATTAAAGGAAAAGGAGCAAGAGAAGAGAACCAATCTATACTTTTGGGTCAACTTATTGACTTTAAGTAGAAATAAGTCAACTCTTCGGGGCCTTTTCTGAGGATAACTCCCTTAGGACTCGTAATTTAGGAAACTTCCATCTGGTTCCTACTGATTTGAAATGTACCAAGTAAAGGAAGAGTAATGGTACCATTACCTGGTACAGGAAAAGCTTCATGATACATAAGATACATTTCTTTAAAATCTAAACCTAATACTGATCACATAGTAAGACACACATAAATGCTGTGAATGGGTAATAAAGAAATAAAAACAAAAAAAACCTTAAATTAACAACTGAGGGAGGCCCCAGGAATGCTTTAAATAGACATTTCTGAAATGGTTTTCCCCAGAAAGTATTGACATTGGCCAATTAGAAAACAGGAGATAAGATGGTACAGCGTCTGATTACATAGTCAACATAGCATCACTTTGATTAAATAATTGCCTTTTTGTAAAGAATGGAAAAGTCAGATAATTAAGTTACCTCTAGGCTTATTTTTCTGCATATTATTTTATCTTAAATATTAAGCTTACTTTATATTATCTTGAAAAGTAGAACTTGAGACAATGGACAGAGGTCAAAATAAGTCTACTTCCATTTTAATTTTCAAAAGAATTTTCTAATGGCTAGAGCTTTTCAAAGATGAAATCAGTATTTTAAGAGTAGACCCTTTACCTTTAGGGGACTTTGGTGGAGGTCCACCTGGCACACATACTGTGAAGTGAATCCCAGCATCAAATGATTTTTAAGGTCCTTCCTGAGCTTCAGTGGTTCATTTTAGTCTCATTCTTATTCATATGGTTTTATCTAGATCAGTAATGGCAAATTCCCTGACTCAAGTACTATCAGGCTCTATCCCATACCCATGTCAGACATCACTAATCAATTACTGCCAGCAGAGAGGAGTTGGCACAGAGGATGAAGCTTTGATGTTGACCTCAGACTTAGCTCACATTTGATTCTGTAGCCTTGTTGTTACAAATTCAGGATTTGGCAACATGGCTGGGTATTTTTCACCAGGTTGCTGCAGCCTCAAATATCTCTACTCAAATTAACATTTACCATGAAGTCATTAGTCTTGGTCAGTTCCCTAATTCAGTTAATTTTACTTTTCAGCTTGTTTTTCCTCACCTATTTGGGGTATATCTCTTTTTTTTCAGGACTAATCTAGGGCTTTCCTAAGCTTAATTAATATTCATGTTCCTCTGGAACTCAGACTTATTCCCTAGATTGTACAGTTTTTCATAGAGCAAGAATTAAAGGCAGTATAGTTGAAATCTCATTTAGCACAAGTACTAAAGGAGTACTTCGGTTCAAAAATCAGTCAAGTGAAAAAAATCAATTGACCAACCAGGAAATTTGTTCGGGTTATCATCAACAAAACAAGATACACCTGTCTACAAGGTGCCTACTCATTAGGCTGGGAATTTCAGTGATTCCCTACCTGGTCATCCCTGCTGATTTCTCTCCTTGTCTGTGTGTGTCTATCTATCTGTCTGTCTCTCTCTCACACACACACACTCTTTAATGTCTAATGTTTATCTCTATAGGCATGTTTCACAGGAATATCCAACCCAACATGCCCAATATGGAGTTCATTATTTTCCCCTCTAAACCATCTCATCATCCTGCCTATTCTATTATTTGATAATTCAACAAACATTTATTCAGTATTAATATGTGCTAGGAACTATACCAAATGATGCAACTATAGCAGGGATGAACAGACCTAGCTCCTGCATCCATGAAGCTTATGGCACAGTGGAATAGACAGACATAGAATAAGCAATTACACAAATCACTGGTCGGTCACTAAAGCTAGAAGCTGAGAGTTACATACACTTCTGTCTCACTCTCCTTTTTAATATCTAACAAATCACTAAGTTCCTTCAGATTATATTGCCTAAATTTCTTTTGAATAAGAACTTTCCCGCACATTATTTCCACTGTCAATGTTTTTCCTCTTATCTCTTGCCTACCTCAATGTAATGGCCACTGGTGTTTCCTCCTTCAGATGAATTTCTTACCTATCCATCTCCAGAATGACCTTGCTAAAATGCAAAACCCAGCTGGAGAACCTCTAATGACTCCCTATTCCCAAGGTATAATTTCTAATATTCTTTACTAAGCTTACAATGCCTTGTAAGATTGCCTAATATCTCTGTTTCTACACCTATCACTTTTTATCTTGTATTTTATGTTCTCACAAGAAACATATTCCATGCACACATACTACATGCCACTGGGATTTTGCTCACCATGTCCCCCTGCCTAGAATGTCTTCTCTCTCTGTTTAACTTTACTAACTCTCAACTATCTTCTAAGACTC